AAAAAAATTCATTTTTTCTGAAAAGATTGTGTCTATTTACTTGTGACCATGCTGTGTAGTAGGGTATAAAGGCTGGAGCAAGTGAGGTAAGATTCATACCAATGCTTAGATTGGTGTCTATTTACTTGTGACCACGCTGTGTACAGGTATTATTTAGAGATCATGGCCTCACCAGTGTGGAAAGAGAATAACCAGTCCCATGGTAGCACAATCAGGTTAAATAAATATGTGGTTTTATTTTAATAGAAACCTTCATTTAGTCAGTTGTAATCAAACCTTCTTCAAGTCTGTTTCCTAGTCTCATCCTGGCTTGACGATCTTGACTTCATGAAGCTGCAATAGTACATTGTAAGCAAGCACACACACAGTGTTTTTCAGTTCTAATAAAGATTGTGTGTATTGTGTATTATACTTTGTGTTCAGTGCATTTATTCCTTAGCTTAAACACAGCCAGTTTAACTTCAGAATTAGTCTGTAGTGTCATATATTATTCCAATCTCCCACTTTAAGCAGAGCAATCAGGTAAATCTCAAATCTATATTCAGTTCAACTGGATATATTACAATAGTAGAAGCAACGACATAACAAGTGCTTCTGCAGACCCTGCAGTTTCGGGGAGGCCTATGCTAAATAGAGGCCCATAGTGCTATAACAAATAAGATATGAATGTGGTCCAATGGGAAGGTTTGCAGGACAGTTTGTTTGTTTTTTTGGTTTGAATTTGTTCAAAGCTAAATGAGGGCTATCTGTGCTAGCCATCCCTAATTTAGCAGTGAAAGACTAGAGGGAAAGCAGCTAGTCATCACCTCTCACTGCCAACTCTCGGGCTACTCTTTTACAAATGAACAGTGGGATTGACTGTCTCATTATAATACCCCACATCTTAAGAGAGCAAGTATATTTTGTGGGACAGGGATTTGAACCCACGAACTGCAGATTCTGGCCTTGCAGGTGGGGTCCACACATTCTGCACTATGCCTCTGAATAGAAGTAATAGAATTAATCTCCTTATTTATTTTGTGTACTGGGTTTTAACAAGAAATCTCTGACTCAATGGCTGCAGAAGTGGTAGTGCACTTTGTAGGAACCTTATCTGGCATTTAGATTGCTTTTTTTAATCTACAGGAATATGCATTATTTTATGAAGAATTCAGAGGTTTATGCAAATCTAAAATTAAATAACATCCAAAGAAGTTATGATTGGTTTTTGTCAATACAGTTGGGGAATTGTTTACCCTAATTCAGTCAGTGGTCATGATACTGTTGTAATACATTATCTATGGAATACTCATGATCCCCAAACGTTTTGTGAAACCTGTAAGGAACTGCTGAGACAGTGAGCCCAAATATCTAAGTGCTTGTTGTTGTCAAGATGGAAACAAGGTTGAATTCAAGGCAAACCTGCAAATGTAAAATAGTAAAATGTTTGAGGTGTTTACATATTTAAAAAAGGTCACACCATCTACTTAGTTTTTGATTTTTTTACCTTTCATCCTTATCTAAGATTACATTATTTTTGCTTTATTTCATTATTTCATAACAAATTATGATCAAAAAAGTAAACTAAAATCAACATTTGGTAAAATAGATAAAAAAGAAATGTTGTTTTTACCATATGTCCCAGGTTTGTCATGTCAAATTTGTCATAAGTTCAAAAAACAAAAAAATATTCCCATTTATAAGCCATTGAATAAAATCAGTCAAATATTAAATAAAACTAAGGTTATGAAATCAATTTAATGGAGAAAACAGGTATTTATAAAATTGAATGTGAATGTGGTGGTGAATACATTGGTCATACTAGTAGAAATTTAAAATTTAGAGTAAATGAACATAAGAGAAATGCTAAAAACAAAAGTTAAAACTCTGCACTAGCTGAACATGTAAATTATACTGGTCATGTTATCCAGTGGAAAAAAAAAACTGTTATTCTGGCTCAACCGAATAATATGATGGATAGAAATATAAGAGAAACCATAGAAATAATGAAATAAAGCAAAAATAATGTAATCTTAGATAAGGATGAAGGGTTAGAAAATCAGGAAGTTATATATGTAAATTAGTAGTCACATGGCCACAGCTTTTTGTATTTATATGATGCATAGAATTTGTTTTTCCTTCTCCTGAGGATGACGTGAACAATGTCAAAACATGTAGTCTTTTATGTCCGTTGATCCATTTTTTAAATTGAATCTTAATTGTGTATTATACAAAATTGATTGAGTATTTTAATATTTTAAATATTTACACAAGTCCCTTGAATTTTAACCCATTACTGTGCTCATTTATAAGTTTAGTACAGTGTTATTGTGTGTTGGGAATAGCTCTAGTGTTTAGTATAATTATATTAGTTTCTGTGAGTTGAATTCTAAGTACAAGAACAGAATCATCACTAATGTTTGAGTTAACATAGTCTTAGTATATGTTTAGGTATCAGTCTGAGACAGGAACTGATCTATTAGTAAGATAAGTCCCAGTGTTAACTGCCTGACGCCTAGCTGTGTGCAACATTAAGGTTGATGAATCTCTGGAATCAATGGCCAACACAACTTAGATCTATAAACTTTACCAGATAGTGCCATACATACCCAGAGTTGGTTGTCATATCATCAAGCAGAAAGTACTCTGTTACTAGAAGGTAGAAACAACAAGGTCATGCCAAGTTACCACATAAAAGCAGGACTGATTGGTAGAAGCTTATGTGCCAGGGAGACTTTCAATGATGGAAAGGTATCTTTATACCCTATTAGTAGTCCCATCCAAATGGTGGTCAGCCATTACATGCAAGCTTTATTAGGGTGG